GCATCAGAATACAGGGTCTTCAGATTAGTTGACATGGCTGTACATGAAGAGATATTCACATAGCACATCCAACTGCACTACACTGCGGGGCAGCTCTTGGCACACGATGCCCTTGGCCCTGGATATTGCGAATCTCATGTCACTTACAATTCCATACCGTGCCAAGGTGCTCTCCATCAAGACTTGAAGTACGGCCAGGTCACAAGGCTCGCAGCCCGCCTGAAGAATCGCCCGGGGGTAACCAGGTTTGATAGAGGTGGCACATGGTGGCACTGTAGTAGAGGTTCGTGCATAGTGGGCTTACGCTTCAGGGAGCGGCAGCCCGCCTTAAATTGGGCTCGGCATTGCATGCCATCAGCAAAATGCACGGAGACAAAGGATGCCCGGTTGATGACGTGGAAGTTTGTGACCTCGACAGCTTCGACAGCTGTTGCAGGTCACAACATCTCGCTAGGCAGCCTGTTTTGAGCACCACAGATGCATGAGCGCCGGCAATGGAAGGCACCACACTTGTTTGCAAGGTTACAAACGAAAAATGCTGCATCCTGGCTGCGATGCGGCCATGGGTGTCCCAGATGAAGCCGGATCCATGGGACCGGGACCAAGGCCGCAAGGCATCGAAGGCCCGGACGCGCACCACGGACTGCACCAGTTGTGTCCTTAGGGTTAAGAAGAGAAAGCAGCTTTCAGCTTCTGTTTTGTGCGAATCGATGCGATTTTCATCGGGAAGTGCTAGACGTCATCCACAAGCATGCTTAAGCACCTCGTATCCGACAAACTTGCCACGTGGCCATACATGAATCACTAACCTGACTAACACGTCGAGCAACAACGAAATGCTGCGCTCCTCCCGTCACTTCTGAAGACCACCATGAGACCAGCAACGAGAGGAACCAGAGTCTTAGATAGCCTCTTTCAAGAATAGCAACCCTCTTCTGGTTCAAAACCGGCGTAGCCACTGAGGACTGGGCTTGCCATAGTTTGCCCAGCCGTCCGAGCGCTTGCTTGAGATGCGCGCGGCGCCTGCGACTGGTGCAAGTGTTTCGATCAAAACTAACAGCACAAAAAAGCTAGTCATAGCTTCTCTATGCGCTTATCTAGTTCCTAATTCTCCGGCATCATCACATTATCAACGCTCTTCTGGCCACCTGCTCTGCTGGCTTGGGCACATTATCATTTTGGCAAATTGGTCTTGTCGAGACAGGGTTGTGGCCTCGGATGCCTCGCTGGCAAATACCGGCAAGCACCTCAGGAGAACCAAACTCAGAATTGCGCTCCAATACGAAATTAAGAATATCCACTGCCATTTCGGCGTCAGAATCAGAACGACAGGCTCTGCAGTCAGTCATGGAGGGAGGACATGACAAGTTGCTGACAGAGAGCTGCTGCGCATATTGCAATCAGAAGCCATTGGCCCGAGCGAGCATTGAGCAGCATACGAACGAATATCACATGCATGTAGTGCATGCAGGCGGGCATGCTACCCCAGCTGCTGAATCCAAGCAAGTCACTTAAATGTCAGTCGTGAAGTCTGTTGAAATGAAAAAGCTTGGAACCCCTGGGCACTGAAAGCGGCGGTTTGTCACTTCTTCCCGCGGCCATGCGGCGTTTCAATCTGCACAAGTTATTTCTAAATCCTCAAGCGTGAGCAGACATCAAAACACGGCAGGATCCACTTAGGCTCACTTGTCTTACAGCTTTTCTCTCGGTCTTGCTGGGCGAAGCATCCAAAGCGCGTGCCTTGGACACCTTGGAAAAATCAGCTTGGCAAATGTCAGTGTTTTGCAGTGAGCAGGAGCCGGGATTCGTCAAAAACAGACTGTTACTACAGCCCCTTGCTCAGGCTGAAGCCTTTGGAATGCGGCGTGACAACTTGTCATAGCGCTTCAGCCTCTTCAGCAGCATGCAGGTGCCCACGTTTTCTGGGCTGGGATTTGCTCTGTCTCTAAGTTGCAGGCAAGTTTGTGTAGGCCATGAGGCCCTCTTCCTGGCGGTCTGAGACTGGCCCCAAACATGTCCAACTGTGCGACAACCCGACAGCCGAGGTCCTGAGAACCATAAGAGAAATGCACCACCAACGCTTGGCCGACGGCACATGAGTGTCGATCCTTGCGTCTGCAGTCTTCGTACGATGATGGCACGGACAGTACAGCTGGATGCGACCCTTTCGGAAGCTTTGGCCACCACCATTATCTGCAAGCTAGTTGCGCGTCTCTCGGCGTGGGGCCCAGTAAACTCTTCCTCATCATCACCCTTGCCATGCCTCAGGAAAACTCTGGAGCCCATGTTCTCAAAGGCATGGCCTGTCTTTGACCTAGACCGTCTATGATCGTCTCATAAAGACTTTCGCGGGCAAGAAGGCCATCCCAAATAGCAAAACGACTAACAACAACTGCAACCCAACAAGTAGCTCAGAAACGCACTTGTCGGTGCTTTGGGCAAGGCACACATTCCTCCAATTCACTCCATCCAAGTCTTCCGCTTTGAAGGCGAAGAAGTTTGTGCTCCACCTTGCTCCCTGCGTCCAATACTCCTTGTTCACGCTTGGCGACCTGTGTATGTACCTGGTGCACTAGGGTTTTTTTAAAGGGTTCTGCATGCCCTATCATCTTCTCACCTGGCCACTTGCCACCGGATGCGTCGGGCATCGTAAGGCTACAAAACGCGACCGCCGGCCTGTGCTCCCTGTAGCCCAAGCGGTTGAAGTCGTGCCAGCCAAAATCAAACACACACCTAAGCCAAACATGCCCTGCATTCGTCTTTAGTACCTGCGGGTTGTTTTAAAAAAGCGGTGCATCCAAGGCACAGGGTGTTATCCTTGGCACGATCCAAGAAACCTTACTGATGGGTTTGCCCCCGTGTTGATGATACTTGTGCTGCACTTTACGGATGTCTGGGACTTGATTGTAGTGCCAAGTTGCTCTCGTGGACCAGTGCAGCACAATCCCAGCGCTCCACCACACAGCGTGAAGCTGGAAAGCCTCAAATCTCGCATGCACGCTCTCTGCAGGTCCGCAGTCCATGAAAATCTCATGCAGCAACTGCGAAAACCGGACCACGTTGATCTGAGCAACGCTCGATTTGGAAATCTGGGGACATGTTGATCTCCTGCAAGCGGTACCACTTCAGCACAGCAACTTCATATTGTATGCGGGAAGCAGCGAAAGTGGACACCAGCACCACGCATGGCAGCCACGCAGTTGAGAACACAATGCCTTGCTCAAAGTTGGCCAACACTCTTTAGATCCGATTTTTCGCACCAGAAGAGCATTTTGAACGAGCACCCTTGCATTGACATCGGCAATGTTCAGAAGGATCAATGTCCGAGGCATGATGGACGAGCAACCATGAGAGAAGCATGCAATAAAGTGTGTTGAATCATCATCCATGTTGACAACATTTGGCACATTTAAGGCTACATGCCAAGGTGACCGCCGTGTTGTGAAACCTGACGACAAACCAGTTAAGGCCCATCGTCAGGCCTCCACTTTGGGCCATGGCAACCGCAAGACCGGATTTCTGCGCTGCTCCTTCTCAAATGCCAGGTGCACATGTGAAGCAAGCCTGGCGGCCACAACTCACGCAGCAAAAAAACGAATGCCTCTGATGGCCGGAATCCACGATGAGCACCCCTGTCCTGATGTAAAGCCTGATCTGCTGCTTCCGAAGACTCTACGCGCTCCTGGCCTGCCCTGCCTTGCACTCATCTATTAATTGCTGTGCAAGCTGCCGACATTATGGCATGGTTCACAACCTGAGAAAATTCCAGCTAAGCGTTCACACCGGCAGCTACCCTAAACCCTTTCAGCTCCAAGCGTTAGCTGACACGAGGAGGCAGCGCTGCCGCAGCTTCTCTCGAACCAAGTTTGCTATGGTGTGTTCAGCAATGTAGACCACATCGTCATCCACCTTCCTTAAATGCTAAATGCTCCATCTTGCTTGCACATCTTATTGCAGAGTATCCTCTAAGATCCTTTTCAGTTCTACTCTGAACTCTCGCCACGAAGCACATACACCACATCGGTCTCATTCAAGCTTTGATAGAGCTGGACCATACGGTTGGAGGCTGGGTCAGCATCCTTGCGGGCCCGACCCCAGCGCAGCTCGGAAAAGTCCCGGATCTCAAAGGTTCCTCTGTTTCAAGTGTTGGACACCACGAAATGATATGAAATGATCAAACTTGCCGCTAGCAAGATTCACGTGGTCCACAAACAATGCAGCGCCAGTCAGGTACGCAAAGCAATTACAATCTGCACCAAGCCACCCCCAGCCCCATCAGCCGAGCTGACCAGTTCGTTCACGTAAGCCAGGTCCTGCAGGCGTTGTTGCATCATGCTTCGGTTTTGTAGCTGACCTGAAGCCATGCTCCAGCTGGCCACTACAAGGAACCCGTCAGCTAGCAAGTATCGGTCTGTGCGTTTCTGCTTGGCCCATGGCCTTTGCCGTGTATTGCCAAAGAGCAAACACGATTCTGTCAACCACACCGCCATGCTTTCGAAGATCACGCCGGAGATAGCGCATCAGGATACGCAAGCGATCCCGTCGTCCAGTGAAAATTACTACCGCCACTTCCACAGCAAGAAGATCTTTGTAGGAGTCCTGAAAGCTGGAGTGACTGCAACATCCTCTACTTGAAAGCCTTCCCCATCCAGGCCTTCCGCACTGCGCAGAGTGGATTCAGTGGATCGCGAGGTCGTTCCTTTTCGTGTTCGCCCCTGTTGTCCCCAGAGCTTTCGGTCACGGAGCTGCTCACAGCCTGTCATTGAGATATTCCCTAGACACGCATTAGGTGAGAAAGGCTAAAAACTCAAATCCTTAGCTGAACTAAAGAAACACATGTCTGATCAGCCTCTTTGCCGACCAATTCCGCGGTCTGATCATTCGCCTGGTGGTCGTTGCAGCTTGCCTGGCACTGAGCTTGCAGAGACTTACAGCGCTTCTTCAACGAAAAAACCTTTTCGCTACTCCTTTGTACCAAGGATCGTGATCTCTCTGGTGCACCAGTGGTGCATTGCAAAGGACCCTAGTGTGGGAAGGCCCCAAGGACAGAACAGAGCAAACAAATTCAAGTTCAAGTGGCATTGAAGTCTGATGCGGGCGGTGTAGCTCGATTTGCCGCAAGCGCCTGCCATATCGGTCTTGAACTAAAAAACGTCTTCGTGGTCCGGGCTGATCCCGAACTCCTCAGGACAGGGCAGCCTCTTCATCTTCCGGCTTCCAAGAGCCTGCAACAGCTTGGTGTGATGATAGTAGCTCTTCGTATGCAGTCCTGGCAGTGGAGTTGGATGTCGCCATAGGATCATGCAAATAGCTGCTAGCTGCACCAAAAGCACCGCAGTCCTCTTTGGCAGGGAGGCTCCTTCAGGAGTGCTGCCTGCAGCCCGCAAAATTTTGCTGCGAACTGGCCCGAGCCCATAATGCCCATACAAATGGCCTGGATCATCTCTGCCAGCTGCCCAGGCGGCCAAGCCAGGTCCAAGGTCATCGATTGGACAGCGCAGCCGCTGCACACAGAGCTGCTCCACGACCCGCTGCCACGCCAGCTCTGCGCCACGGCTCTCTTTCCTGGTAACACACTTGTATGTCATTTATGGCCTGACCTCAGTCGGTTGGAAACCGATTCGCGCACCAAAAACGCAGATTCGCGCACTACTCCCGGCAGATTCGCGCACCGAAGATTTGCGCACTACCACGGACCGATTAAAACAGGTGCTTAGCAAACTAACACTACGAGACTCGCGCCCAGGGCCTGGGCCAGGGTACGGCGCCGACTCGCAAACCCTGAGCCCTACGCCCTAAACCAGCCCTGAGCCCTAAACCCTAAACCCTGAGCCCCAAACCAACCCAACCCTAAACCCTAAAACCTGATTCCTAAACCCTGAGCCCTGAGCCCTGAGCACCCTGAACCCTAAACCCCGAAACCCTAAGCCCTAAATCAGCCCTAACCCTAAACCCTAAGCCCCCAGCTCTAAACCCTGAACCTTGAACCCTGCGCCCCAAACCAACCCTGAACCCTGAATCGTAAACCCTGAATCCTAACCCCTAGGCCCTAAACCCTGAACCCAAAACCTTAAGCCCTAAACCAGCCCTAAACCCTGAACCCTAAGCCCTAAACCCTAAGCCCTAAACCAGCCCTGAAACCTGAAGCCTAAACCCTAAACCAACCCTGAACCCCAAATCCTAAAGCCTAAACCCTAAGAAAGCCCTAAGCCCTAAACCAGCCCTACACCCTAAACCCTAAGCCCTAAACCCTGAACCCAAAACCCTACGCCCGAAACCCTGAACCCTAAACCAACCCTGAACCCTAAGCCCTAAGCCCAAAACCAGCCCTGAACCCTAAACCCTCAACCCCAAGCCCTGGAGCCTCTTCCGGCTTGGTGCAAAAGTCAGATCCCTCTGGTGCGGGAGTGGGCAGCTATTGGTGCTTGAATCGGCTCCTTTTGGTGCATGAATCGGCCTTTTTTGGTGCTTGAATCAAGGTCGTTTTGGTGCGTGAATCGGTCTTGCGTGTGCGTGAATCGTTGGTGTGTGAATCGGATAGTTTCTGAATCGCTGGTGCTTGAATCGTAGTGCGTGAATCGGGTTGGTGCGTGAATCGTGCTTTTTCGGACCTCAGTCTTGCCGCCTCGGGATCAAGATTTCCCTAAACAGACCTCGGCCTTGACTCATCACTCGTAATTACCCGTCACCCATCTCGTGTTTAACCCCGTTGGCATCGCAGTTTGATGCGTTCATGTGCATACTCTGTGCATGAACCTGACATCAACCCAATCGTCCACATTCGCAGGAGGATGTGCCGGTCGGCGGTCGCGAATCGGTGGCACTTCTCCGACACTTGCTGCTTGGTGATGGATGCGACTTCCTGGATGTTGGCACAAGGCAGGTCCCAGCAACTTTGAAGGGCACGAAGCATCATGCAATTCGAAGGTTATATAGGCCAGAATAAACTAGACTCGTGACTAGACTTTTAGTTGTACCGCCAGAGATGTCCAGTACCAAGCCCAAGCCAAGCATGGCGCAAGAAGGTGCTCTTCTCCACTCATGAATGGCAAGAGCTGTCAACCGCGAGGGTGGCCTGCCAGCTTCGCTCGGACAGAGCTTGATTCAAGGCGTCCATGGAGAACTCTTGGCCTGTGGATGCAATTCACACATGCATCTGACAAGTTCCGCAACCATCTCAACCTATACCCCGCAACCCTATGATATGCCACGCTGGTATAACACGAAGGCTTGCCAGGGATAACTCCGACGAGTTAAGGATAACTAAGGTAGGTCCTGCGCGCAACTGGCCTAGCAGTTTCTGCGCAGCTTCGCATTTTCTGTTGTTGAATGTTGAACAGGAATGACAGGGTCAGCAGGCAAACACCACAGTTGAGCTGCAAAATTGTTTCATGAATTTACAGAAGATCCTATGGATCTTCCTAGGCCTCAGGCACTAGCGAATGCTTTACAGCACAGCACATTCACCGATCACGCGTCGCTTTTCCAGCCAAAGGACGCCCTGATTTTGGTAGCACCTCTTGCACGGCGACTGCATACTGCTGGCAGGACTCGCAGACCTGAGGGCAAAGATTGCCAACAGCAGAGGCGTACCGCTTCGTGCACTATGCGTGAATGGCCCACAGGGCATCTCTCAACCATGTGCAGAAGGGCAGCCAAGCTCCCGCCAGAGCCGACGTTCAACAACACGCTTGCCTGGATCGTCTGGCAACACCCGTCTTCGGGGAAACCAAACACTGGTCACGTGGGTCACTGAGCAGCCCTCTCAAGCCATGCACTTAACGGTCTTGCACACATCAAGAAATGCAGAAAACGCTCACCTGTAAAAACCACAGCGCGTTGAACAGCCGCATTCTTGGCCAAAATTGAGCACATTGATGCTTCACCAACTGGCAGCTTGGGAGTGCTGTTGCCTGTATCTGCGAAAATCTGCAGACACTACACGATATCGCATACTGTCAGGCAGGTGTGGAAGCTGCTGATAGGTGATCTCAGAGTAGGTGATCTCTTGAGTTGCGAAAAATGGAAGAAGGAATTCATGTACAGACGCGCTACTGTTGCTCGCACCAAGGACGGTAAGCAGGCTGCTTCACGGCGCAAGTATTGAGACCCTCAATAATATCCCAGATCTGGTACTTGTCCTTCTGGCTCCATTGTGAGTTTGCTTGGAGCGTCGGTTCCGTTTTGCTTAACATTGCAGAAACTCAACAAGCCCAAAGTAGTTGTGTTGCAGGCTACGTGAAGCGAAAAACCTGCAGGCAGTTACCAGCCTTTTGAATGCGCAGCGCTGAATGAGGGCAGGCCGTGATGCCAACATTAGAGTGCCTTCGGCAGCTCTGCCGCTAACACGGAGCGGCCGTCCCTGGCTTCTGCGATTTTGCTCCGGCGACGTTTAGATAACTGCAACATACCAACAAAAGTTGGCACTGGGCTCCTGGAGCAGGGGCCTGTGCTCATCACACAGGCACGCCGAATGGACATCTTCGACGGATGGGAAGTCAAGCCCATGCTGAAACTTGTCGTGCCCGGTGAGGAAGGATCGAATTCCGGTGCAGTTGCTGTACACGTGCTCAGCAACAGGTCAGCAATTGTGAGAAGGCAGCTAGCAAGGCCTGCTCTTTTCTCCAACTTCTGGCAAGGAAGCAAACCGCCTGGGCATATCCTGTCAGTTTGCCTTGCGCTGCTCAAATTCTGCCTGCTCTCTGTCCGAATTTTTCTGCGGTTAACAGCTTAAATCTCGGCAGGTCTGTGCAAGGGAAGGCCAGTCCAAGTCCAGAGGAGTAGAAAAACCACCAAGTTCATTGGTTTGTTTTTGAGTGCTGGCTCAAGCAGGCAGCTGGTTGGAGCCCATGCACTGATACCCCTAGGTCGCTCGGCTTGCGAACGCACGCCAGAATCGTTCTGAGAAAACCTATACCGAACAGAATACAACCAGCGCCGACCCAAGTCTAGGAATTCCCATGCATCTGAACCATAAAAAAAAATCGGTTTGGCGCAGGCTCACCTGGCTGGGCCGAAGGAAATGACTATCTCTGCTTACGGTTGGAACGGACCAGATATCCGGCGCTTACTGCTGCTCAGACTTTTGCTGCTCAGAAGAACCTTGGCCGATGCTGAGCGGAAGCAGGCTCCAGCCGCGGAGAAAAAAACAAGCTGCATATGGCACTTAGGCATGTGCGATGTTTCACCGCTTGTTGCCGGCCTGTTCCTGGATGCCTCGTCCACAGCAGTTAGGGCGGAGTTGAAATGAATGCTGGCTGCTGGCTTGAGATTTAGCGTACCCCTTGGACTAAGACGCCGGCAAGCTTCAGAGGCGACTCTGGCAGAATACCATCAGGCATGCCTTCTGCAACCTGGGATTTGTTAATTGCCGAAGCATGTCCGGGAGGCTCCCGCTGCTAGGCTTTCTGAAGAACAGTATAAGCTGCTTCTTGCTAGCCTTCGATTCAATTTTGCGGAACCAACGATCGAGCGAGAAGAAGATCTGATTTTTTGCTCTATGACTTGAATTGAACCAGGACTTGCATCCCTGCTGCGCATGGTGGTTTAGCTTTCTAGAACTGTTCCATCATTTAGTGCTCTATTCTTCATCTGACCACAGCGGGCGCTGCTGCCTGCGGTAAACCAACTGCATGCAAAGGGGCAAAGGAGGAAGCCGCCAAGACTCGCCTCATCAATCAGTGGTTGGATACAACGTGCTCGAGGGAACAGGTTGGTGAACATCCGACACGACTCCCTTTGTGCTCGTTTTTTTCGTGACCTTGCGCCCCTATACTATCTGAGCTGTGGGCGATGTCATCACGGAGTCTGAGTCCAGAATCCAGGCAATGAACCTTGATAGCAAAGACAGCTAACAAGAGTGAGGGACACTTAGGGACACACTGCAGGCAACCGACACCTGATATGACGGGACGCTAAGGCAAAGTCTCTGCATAATGAATGTAGCCATCACAGTCTGCATCTGCCTCTTTTGCAAACATGCTGGCTGCAACTGTTGCACACAGGCTTGGCGTGTGTACAGACACAGCCCTGGCCGTTGTTGCTTTGGTCAGCATCATGACAAATGTGTATTCGTTTGGCGGCATTACTGTATCTCACGAGACAAGTCTAAACCAACCACCATCTCCCACTGCCAGCAAATGTCCATGATTCATGTTTTGCTGTGCATGGATGGGCTTTATCTGGCAAGCCTACCCGCATGCTTCCTGGCCTTGGCAGCAAGCTGTCGCACCTTCTCCTGGGTGAAGAATGCCTGAGAGGTTGGTGGTTGCCCTTGACAAGCAGCACACTGCCCTCTGAGCTCCGGAACCGGATCAAGGCTCCTGAGAATATATGTGCACTCATCGATGTCGATGACCCCATCGCCTGTCGCTGCAGCACACCTATGCCTCCAACAACAAAATTTGACCGAGGTCACCATGAACCGCCACCTTTTCGCAATGCAAGCTGCAAGCTGTTACAGGTCCAGGGCTAGCGCCGTTCGAGTCAAAGTATGCAAACGCCTTGCAGCTGAATCGCATGACATGCAAGGCTCGACTACCTATGTGTTTGCTTGAAGCTCACTTGCGCACTTCGCTTTTTTTGTGTCACGTTCTCGGATTCTGTCGGGTAAGCTGTAATCCTCTCCGCTAAAGCGAACGACATGCATCGAGCGCCAACATCTCTGAAACATTAAAGCATATTCCAGACAAGTCCGTGCACCTTCGTGTACATAGTTATCTCGCGATCTCATAATGTGGCCAACCTGCCTTCATGTGGTGGTCCATGCCTGGCACCGGTACAGGGAAAAAGCATCGCACTTTCTCTTGGTATTCCCGGTAGGTCGCGCGCTTCTTTGCACTGAAATGCTCAGCTGGACCAGCGCCGGTCCAGTGCACCAAGCAATCATACAGCAGTCGAGGTACCATGATCAACGCCACAACGTAGAAACGGAAGACTAGAGCACCCTGCTGCGGCAATACATCTGAGTTGAGCAAGGACGGGACGGCTGAAAGTGAGAGTCCTACCCACGCACACCACTCACCAAAGTAGTTGGGATGGCGGCACCAAGACCACAGAAAGTATTTGTCATGTGGAGGCAGACCCAACGTCGCATCCTTCTTCTGGAGCTGTTTGCAGTCATTCAAGAAAAGAAGCTTCTGATAGTCTGCAAAACTCTCAAACATCCAGCCCGCGGCCCAGATGGCCCAGCCAAGACACTCGACCACGTGGATTTGGGGATGCGGGTTACTTGCTGCCAAGAAGGCGGGTATACAGAGAAGCGCAGAATTCGAAAATCCCTGTGACAAGGTCTCCTGCTGCATCTTCAGCCACCACGTGCTTTCTGGCATGCCGTCGATGCTGATCCACTTGTACTTTGCATATTGGTACCTGGGAAGATCTTCATCAAAACGATAAGTGAATTTCGAAGACTGGCCAAAAAGCACGATTGCCCCCAATGCCATTCGGCCTCCGTGGAGCAAAAAGCAAAGGGAGATCAAACATTTCCGAAGCCACAAGCCTGTGCCCAAGAGAAATGAAAGTACTCCGATTGCAACAAGCCCGCTTGGCCAGCCAATATCCACATACATCATGTGCCCAGTCAGCAACACTGGAAGCTGGACGAAGGGCAAGAAAATCGCCAGCTGCACCACTGCATTCGTCCAGATTAGGCTTTTTACCATCGGCGGGGCCAAGAGGACGCCAAATGCAAGCGAGTAAACGAGCAGGCTTTCAACTGGGTGGAGGTCGCCGCATATTGCCAAATAATTCCAGAAGCTTCCTTTGGCATACGGCATTGGCAGAAGCGGCAGGCATGTGCTGTCTCGGGCTCTCACACTCACTTGAGCCCGTTCTGACCCAGAAGATTGCCTGAGGCGTTGTTGGCAACTCTGAGCGTAACCAATACCTCTTGCAAAACATGTCGGGTCTGGCCCAATGCTAGACTGGTGATAACTTCTGCGCTGGCCTTGGCGATCATCAAGCTCATGTTGTCCCGAGCTGCTGTTGGAGAGCCCATCCTCAGATAGTAACCACCGAAGCTAGCACAGCCCGAATTTGCGACCGGCTGGAATGCCGGGAGGCGATACAGCTGCAAGTCGGACAGACTGTCATGCCCGATTACTGCCGCGGCTAGTGGCAGCTGAAAGTCCATGCCTCAACAGCAGCTTGCTGAGCCCCGTGCATGGGATACCGCTGCGTCTTGTGCAGCATGTTGGCTTCTCCCACCTACACGACCAGGTGGTGTGCAATTTGGTATTGTTGCACGTTTAGGCAGATGGGGCTGACTCCATGCTTTGTTGAATTTGCGGCATGCGGGCCTCCTTTTGCATGGCAGCAACCTGAGAAACAACTCCACGCATCTTCTTGATGGCAAGGACGACCCCAGGGGCGCCACCCGCTCATCCAGCGAGGTGCGATTCCGCGGAACAGGCTCGGGCCGGCTGCCCTGGAACTTTGGATTCTTTGGGGTCCAGTCTAGGGGCTTTGGGGTTTGGAGTGAGGATGCTTTAAAGCAGGGCGGTGTAAGGAAGGCCTAGCTGAACATTTTGGGACAGGTCAGCACAAAGCACGGAAGTCAGCTTGGGGCAGTTTAGCTGCTCCCCTACACTCAGGAGGCTCTTGGCCTGCAGTCTCTCGAACTTGTCCGTTCGGGAGAAGTGGATAAGGTAGACGTCCTGGGCCATGGGGGGTTTCAGGCGAAAGCTTCAGAAATCCAGAGGGCCCAACGCCCCTTACTTAAGAACTATACTATACTATACATGTTCCCTCAATTAAGGGTTTGGGGCTGCCTGGGAACCAAAATCCCAAAGGTTCCAAGGGCGGAGCCAGGGGAGCCGACTTGTAGGCTTCCAGGACCTCAGTCGTAGAAAAGCCGGATTGCTGTTACGGAACTTAATTTTGCCACGACGAACAATAGTGTACAAACTAAAAAATGGGGTTTCCGTATTATAGTAACTTAATATAAATAAGTTTCTCAACAGCAGCCCAGAGAGTCACCCGTGGCCAGATGAATCCCCTCCCTCTGGCAGACCCCGTCCCCACGCAAATGGACTACGATGTTCCTCCACTAGAAATGGTCCTTGAGCTACTGGGATATCCATTCCAAGGGGTTGGGGGGCTGATTATCATCATTGGGAGGGGGAATAGATCCCGTCTCCCCCGTTCGCGCATGAGAACAACAATTGCAGTAATAATGGCATACCACAATGTTTGCCTAAAAGCAACGATCTCCAATTTCAAGAGGCCAAAAGGGACCTGCATCAAAACAGGAATATGTGCATATATACATATAGAAAGAGAGATGTACACCCCTATGATAGTAGTAGAATGGGTACATAAGGGGGCCCTACTATAATCACCCATATGACGGTAGTCACTATTACAGGGTGGGGGGGTCCACCTGATGTAAGACTATTTCTGATTTCTTGAAACACTATACCACAAAAATGCAGAACAAGAGTGGTCCTTTTAAGTGCCATACTCTGTCCACCGCCTGATAGATCCAGCTGGGCCGATTGCCTCCCAGGTCGTGTCTCCACTGCAGTCGGCCTTTAGTGATCAAAACACCTGTAACTGGAGAATGGGATACATGCACGTGAGCTTTCCTGAATCTGTACCATTCTTTGTGTGTGAGTATGAAAGGACTCAAAATTGAGAGACCGCCATGGCTACCAGTGTCAACATGGTTTCGACCTCAACTCCTGTCCCTTCGTTAAACATCGCTTCTCCGGTCTGGAATGCCGTGCTGCCCTGAACTAATAACTCCATCCAAAGAATGTCAACGCGAGATTGGAATCGCCGTTCTGAGAATGCCCTCCCTTACAGAATTGGAGATGGGGAAGCCTCAGCCTGTGCATATGGAAAAATACGGCGCGCCCTCATCTTGCTAAAGCACACGGCACAAGGATCGTTCCGCAGGCCTAGAGCTCCGGCCCCAATGGCGGTGAGGAAGACCTTGACCCGCTGCTTCCGCCTGTCGGTCAGAATGAAGAAACAACAAAGCTTGTCAGCAGCATTTCAACTTGCATCTCAGTTTCCCGCTTCGCAGCAAGGATTGCTCCCACAGCCAGCGTCGCATCCTCAGATTTCCGGTAAGCGTGACTGCCCAACTGGTTGAAACCTTCATGGCCTGTGCAGCCTGACGATATCTGATGACGTGTGAGACGGTGTACGTGCATGAATTGGAGGTCTGCAACTGTCACTGATCGAGCACCAACAATAAATCTGCAACATGGACGTGACCTGACTGTCCGAGTGAAACTCTTGAGTATGCCACACAAAGAGGTGGGCCGGCAACTCTGGGGCAGTGGCATATGCACCTCTGCAGGCTTGCAATCAGCCAACAATACCCTCAAACTGTCAAAGCCTTGTCGGACCTTTCTTCAGGACTTGCTATAGCCAAGTGGCCAGTGAGCAGGCTGACGGCAAACGGCGCCCAGTGTTGTGCCTGCAGGGTGGCTGGTGATCTTCCCTTCACAGCACGGTTGGTGCAAGTTCACTTCACTTGATGGCCTTCACAATCTTGGACAGTGCCACAGCTGGTGCCGAGCAGCACACCTGCCGGTGAGCAGGAGGTAGCTTTGCAATGCTTGCTTTGCTGACTGGCGGGATGGTTGATGTGCTTGCTATCCTTGTCCGAAAGCCTGCCTGACAAACGTTGTGAGAAATGTCATCTAGCAGCACTTGCGTGTCCCAGTGGACCTGAGATCAGCTAGGTGCTGTCAGCATCCAGATCTCAAGATCTCTTGTCTGAGGACCCCGCCCCCACTCGGACTCGCCCGGCCACGTCATCGGCAAGAATCTGATCGCTAACTAGCCCTCAGTATTTCAATCAACGGCCACCCGGGCTTCAGGCTTCTTTGTCAGTTTACACCACAGCAACTTCCCGTGGTATGCTTTGGAAGGCGCACGGTTTATTTTGCCTGTAAGGCCCGGACTCTCGCCGAGGTCTATGAGCTTTCCGCCAGGCCTGGCACATGGGCTGCCAGGCACAGCCACAAGCGACAACTCCGCCCACACGGACTCACAACCAGGCCTGGGCATCATGAAGCCGTTCCTCATGACCCAGTAGCCTGCCATCTTACGAGCTCTGCGACCTAGTAGTGTCAGGGTGCCGAGGCTCAACACCACAGCATTGCTACCTAATCGCGTCGGCACCGACAGCGGCCTTCTTTGCGGTTTCCCACTAGATCACCGACGTGAGTCATCAGGTCCAACTGGCAGATGTTCCGGAATCAAGTCGAGGCAGTGCGATTATAATCAGATTGCTGGCGCATCTGATATGGTAGCTTCTCATACGCCCTACATCAACAATCAGACAAGCATGCATCTCCTGGGCTTCCAAGTTTGTTGCCGCCTGCTGCCCACGCCCTTGCCCAACGCCATTCAAGAAGTAATTCCGGAACACTGTAGCTGCCTGGCAGGACCACAAGAGCAGCACATTGAGTTTGCAGATTGTGCGCGCAAAGAAATTGAGACATCCTGCCGAAAACAACCGCGCAACATCGCGCAACCTAAAAAGAGCTTGTAGGGACAATACCTCACGAATGCAAAAGAGAGTAGACACGTGCATTGCTGTGGATTGTGAGTTGCTGATGAATGCCCCTTTGACATATCATCAGTACCGCACGAAAGCATGTCGGGGAGTCCGGGCAGGCTATTGCACAGACCTGGTCACGGAGCCGGGAATGGATGCTTCAGCCACCTACGCATGTAGCCTTGCCTGCTGCAAGCTTAGGTGAAAAGTCTGCTAAGCCGAGCAAGGTATGCAAGGCCAAAATAGCACGTGTCGCTTGTGTTCCTGAGCCAGCTGCTGCCCCTTGTGTAGTGGTCTCGGCATAGCCTGGTCCAGATTTGTCTGTTGCTGCATCTAGACAAGGGGAAGTATTGAAGTACTACTAGTAGTAAAAGTCGTCGTCGTCGTCATCGTCGTCGTCATATTGTAGTATTAATATTGTAGTAGTAATTGTTGTTGTTATGAAGGCTCTTGAGGTTCTACACTTAGAGCCTTAAAGGTCATTGTATTTGTGCAAGCTTCAAATAAGGGCCGCTGTTGTACACTCGGGTTCCTATTTCACCACCATGACCTGGTCGATCTTATTTCCTATGCGCTTTTGCCATTATCGCTACGATTGCTGCTTTTACCTTGATGATTTGAAGAAACTCTTTTCATGTTTCTAGAACCATCGCTCGCCTCTAATTGGAGGAATTGCTTTTCTGGAAAGGGGCAGTATTCATGGTCCTTGTGTTCTTCCTTCCATCGTTGGTAAGGAATACTGGCCCTACAATCACGTACTACAGTAGAGGTCACTGAGTACTTTTCAGAACTGGAACATGGTTGTTTCTGAAAATTATGGTCCTTCTTGTCTGTGGAGCGCCTTAATGAAGTGTTCTGGCATTTGGGGGTCTAAGAGGGGTACCCCCCTTTTTGGAAATCCCCAAATGGCAGTTTCCGTAAAAACGAGGTACCCCAATAGTTCAAAACCTTTCCGAGGATGCGGCAAGTGACGCCATCCTCTGGCACGTCGCCAGGTTCCTGTCTTTTTTAACAAAAGGGATTGATTATATTGGGGGGGGGATCAGACTTATGGTCGCTTGTTGGGTACCCTACCTGAACATACTAAACACTATGTAGGGGCCGTATCATATCAGTATCCAAGGGCGACAAACCTAACATATGGAGGACGAAATTGAAAGATTTTCCCTATAATAGTCCCCTATATAATTCCCCATATAAACCCCTTTAAGGAGTTTAGACTATAGCTCATATGGGTCCAGAAATCAGTAATCCCTCTGGGGTCAATAAGCTAGCAGTTGCCCCAAGAAGCTTCCCACGGCGTTATCTCAACTCCGAGCCAGCCCAAGGAAACAATGTAAGCCTTTTAATCCCTTTAAAGGTACTCTTTGGGAAACCCTGAACCCCAAACCCTATATCACCCCTATATAACTATATAACTTTTCCAAATATTGACATTCAATGCGCCTGCATCTGCAAGCAATTGTACAGGGAGGCGACCTGCCGAACAAACTTAAAGGGAATAGAATGGGAACCCCACATAGGGAGGCTATTACTCCCTTTAAAATTCCCAAATCTTCAGATGTCCTGGAAAAATGCTTTCATGTGCATGGGACAAGTTGGCTGAACTCTCGGGCTGGGCTCTGTGGGGCAACGGCCTGAAAGACAGACCCAGCATTCTGTGGATCGGCGATCCTGTAGCACGGGGGCTGGAACATGCATGTTGCCCCATGCGTCACATAATTTGGGAGACAGTAATGCTTGAGAACTGCAGTAACATGCAAAGGTACTGCCAAGGGTATCATTTTTCAAGTGACCAGCTACATTCACCTTCCTACTCCTCCAAATCCGGGTTTCAGAATCTCGGGGGTGCCAAACTCAGCTGCGGACAACTCCAGGGTACGGTCCTTATGCGAGCATGGTGTACTTGCGAGTGCGAGTTCCCTGCCGGCTTGCCTAATGATTTATTATGAGGTGCTCAATTCTGTTGTGGTGGTTCCAAAATGGTATTAGGGAACAAATGAACAGCAGGGTCCGGACAGCGGGAATGCCGGTTGCACCAGCTTAGGTCCGCCAATTCTGCTTGCAACGTGCAGGTAATGCTCTTTTGCCGCCTGCTCTGTGAGCGGATGCACTGCACTGATATGCCCGTCACAGTTGACAAAAGGCCCGAGTGGAAGCTCCTTGGGACCAGCTGCGGACCTTCAGGGGCCACCCTAGTTGGCACAAGCTCCGAAAACTAAGCACCCTCCGAAAGCGCAGCCAGAGAGCATGAAGGTAAACTGGAAGAGGATGACCCAGCCAGCCAACTTCAGCCAATTCAAGATGTCGCTGTGGATGCGGCGCGAGTGCGTGGAGATGTGGAGACGACGTGCGTGGCTCGCGAGCCAGGGCGCTAGCCCCTCGAGCATAGCATGCCTGCAAATGCTCGCTGCTGACTAGCTTTGATAGAATGTCATCATCATGGAGTTATAGAAGCAAGAGAAGGACGAGACAAACAAAAGCTGCTTTAAACAAAAGTAGCTTCCATAAGCGTGGGGACCTCAGTATAGACCCCCAAAATGAGAGTGACCCCGAAAAGGGTTTAAGCCGCCAAACGGCTCAGCACCCTGGGTGTCAATATCGACGAGGTCCCAAGCACCGTCAGACCCGAGGATGGCCTTGCAGGAAAGGAAGAACTTTTTTTTTACTTACAAAATGCAAAGCCACAGGTCCCAATAAGAAGGAGTATATCATTTTGGGTGTCTGTATTGAGGCCCCCTATTTGTGGAAACTGCCAAGAAGGTCTACAACATCTTCTTGCTTGTAGAATGTCATGATGCTGAGTACTTGCTTATCATTATTACCATCGTGCCGCAGTTGAAACAGGTAAAGGTTGGAAAAGTATTATGTTGGCTGCTTTCCCAGTTGGGCTTGACAAGAGGAAGGAAAGCCGCCTGGAGCTGCTTGCCAGAGCTGATGGGCGTTGTTTCCAGCACCAGCTTGCATCGACCCTCCTGTCAAATCAAGTCTGAGTGCTGATACCCCAAATCAAGCCCTCTGATCAGTAGCACCGCCACCACCAGCACCAGCACCACTAGCACGACCGCTAGCTATGACTTACCAACCGTGACTGCCACTACCAATACGCCACTGCAACTGTCACTTGCCAACACCAGCACTAGAATTGGCAGCACCAGTGCCGGCACCCCTACAACCCTCCTACCTGCGCGACAACCCTCGCAATTATAGCAATACTGATTACAGGAACCAAGATGCAGGGAATTTATGGTGACAGTCCTGCGCACCCTTTGTTGTTTGGAATTCCTGGGAACCTTTGGGGGCTTTGGCTTGATAACTTTACCCATCTTCTTGTTCAACTTTCTCCAGCAAAAGGCCACTCTGCACGTCTGCATCCCGGTAAACACTTGCTCTCTCGCCTGACATCATAATTGCGCTATCCCCGGCTCGAGGCTCGGCACTCCAAGCGCTGCCAAGGAGCAGGTAAATTCCGAGCCATGTGCTGGCGGAGTTGGGACCCATCTCCTGGTGCACGAAATGCATGAACACAAGGCCACGCCGGGTGAGCTCTGCGTTCATCAGACAGCCAAGCGCAAAGAGCATGTCGCTCCTAGGTCGAAGGGCTCCACCAGCAGAAGCTCGCAGCCGGCTTCGGGGCCTGCATGCCGCAGGAAGGCCTTGGCGGCACCTGGCCATGATCCGGACGATTCCGGACGCGTCGTGCTTGGAGCAAGCATGACAAGCGCAACAATGACGGACGTGATCTCGCAGCGAAGGTGGGCGAGCCATCATGCATGTCAGATGAATGCTGAATTCTAGAGCCGTATCAGTCTATCACGGTCAAGTAATGTGCTGGAAAGGATGGACTCCATGATTGTTGCGGGCGGGGCACGCGTTGCCCAAATCGCGTGCGGTCCCGACCCAATCTCCTGAGCTGACGCAAGAGCTGCAGGCATCATGGTACATGTCGCCCTGGAGTTGCGCCAAACATCTCAAAAAACTAGTAGTCACGCAATACGAGCAGTCACCTGCGTCACCGGCACACCCCTTCTCTTATCTCTAGCAGCAGGGCCCGAAGTCTCTGAACTGCAACTTTCAGCAGAAGCTACAACACCCAAGGCCTGGATTCCTGAACTGCGCAACCCCCCAAAACGATGACAAGGCTCGGCCACGCGGAGGCTGCGGCCTGCTTCCGCCGCTTTTTTTGCAGTGTCAAGGATGTCTGCCCACTCCTTAGGCTGAATAAGCTCGAATAGAATCATTATCCAGAATAGCCAGGTAGTGCATCACGGCTCGAAATATTCCTCATCCAGAAGAGGCCAGAATCGAGTGTTTGGCAGCGCCATCCGTCGAAAAATGCATTCAAGGGTCCTGATGGTCAGGCTACGGGCCATTGGCACCTTTCCTGAGGGACTAGTCTCTTCATTCACTCATGTGCAGAGTACTGAGAATTTGGAAGCTGGAAGAGGCTGCCTTGAACCCCTCGTGGCGTGATTCTGTCTAGGCTTAAGACATGAACCCATGCGCTCTGACGTTGCCGAATCCGCAGACCTGTCCTGGAGGGGGCCAGCAGCGCGGACATGTGCTCTTCGCACACGAAGGAGAGATTTGTCTCTATGCCTCCATCTGTCGAAGCTGAAGAGCTTAAAAAGGCGTAAGAGCTTGCCTGACAAACCTGGGATCTATCCTCCTACCCCTCGCAAGGTTTTACCATTTCTGGACCCGACAGCCTAAGAAATCCACAGCGTGGCCCTGCCGTTCGGGCCCCTCCACGGGAGGAAAGCTGTGGAATGCCGGCAGATGATCTGCAGTACATTTTTGCTTGAAGATGTTGGGCAGGCAGTTGTTCTTGGTCTGCAGCAGCAACTTTTGCAGCTCCTCCGCGCGGATGCGTGCAAGGATCAAGGTGTCGCCAACCAGGCTCTCAAGGGTGCGAAGATCGTAGACCGCATCATCCTCCACTGAAGCAAGCAGCGAGGTTGATAACAACCATGCGTCTTCTATGAAGTGGCCGAGAGCTGTCTTGAAACGGGCCGTAGCAAAACGCACAGCATCATGCGTGGCTGGGCTGCGGAGGGTGAAGGGCGAGCTCAGCTGCACAGAAATGTTGACGATAGCGTCCCTGTTCACCAGCAGCTGAGTCTTGAACACGGCAGACTCTTGTGCGAGTTTACGATCGATTTGCGCAAGCTTTGCGAAACATCTGCAACAGAGCTTCACTATGTCGGGCTTCGCAGTTGCACTGATGTTGTGTAGCCTGAGGCTCCGAGGCATCGGGTGTTCGCACATGTACCAAAGGGCAGTGATGGGAGTCTTCCGCTGCACCCAGCGGAAGCAGTCCAACGCTCTCAGAACCTCCTCTGGGGTGCAGGGCTGGGCATCTACCGCCCAGTCAAGCGACAGCCGTGCAATACTTTGGCGAATCAGTGCAACCAGAAGTGGCCAGGAGAACAGGCCATGTGAGCTCATGCTCTAGGGATTGGAAAACGGGCGCATGCACAGCTTTGCAGAATTACTTCGAGCACTCAGGACCTGGCGCCGTCAGCGGACTATCTTTGGCAAGAAATGCGCTGGGACTTGCAGGTCTTGTGCGGGCTTGAAAGGGAGAAATTACAGGCAGGTACTCTTACGTATCGTAAGGCTTCTGTAAGACTTACATGGGGAGCCTATAACTACCGACCTGAAATTTCCTTCGGTTTAAGGTTGGCCAAAAAAACATGTGTGGTCTCTGGGCATGGTTCGGCTTTTTCATGCTTTTTCAGAAACTTCCAATGCTGGAAAGACTACATCCACTACTGCTACTTCTTGCCTTGCGCTTGGATGAACAACGGAACCCGGGAGTTGTGCCAGAAATCAAGGGGTCCTCAGGAAGTATACGGGGAGCATACAGACATGCCAAGGGTAGGGTTATTCCGGGTTCTGTCGCCAAATTCCCGTGTGAAGCAAGAGAACACCCAACGGACATTGAAACCACATTTCAGCAACCATACCAGCAGCAGCAGCAGCAGCAGCAGCAGCAGCAGCCCCACCTGTATGTTGGCATGTGCAAATAGCAGTTTCTATCAAAAGGGAGGCCCTTATATAAACCCCGAATTACTATAATCCTGATTATAGGGACCCCTAAGAAAGGCACCCGGTACCCCTGAAACACCCGGGTAGGTTTTCAGTTAAACTGAACCAAGGCTGCACTCCTTTTTTGCGCCACTGCGCTAAGCCCACTGCCAATAACGCGGCAGCGCGCTGATGTGGCCATCACAGTTCAGGAATCGCCCCAATCCTTTATCTTGCAGGCCGACCAAAGACCTTGGCATCTGGAGGGTTGCTGGAAAAGAAAAAAGAAAGTACTATATTATGAGGATATAGGGGTTCGGGGTTTAGGGGCTGCAGCAGGTTCGAATGGATGAGGTGGGTTTGCGTGGTTTCAATCTTCGACATCTTAACTGCCTCATCCCAGCATGACGCAACATCCTGGCCATGCTGGGCGTAGGTTTGTTGACACAGCTCTCAAACCGGCTAAATCATGCGCCGAAGAAATACACGGGCTGTACAATCGCCAGCAATTCACCTTCCAAGCCACAAGAAGAATTTACGTGATTGACACACGCAATCACCCCCCCTCAGTCTGGTAAACCATATTGCGACAGAGAGTAGTTCACTCGACCCAGCAGTCTTCAGAGCATCATGCGACTCAGTGGCAGTGTGGGATAGTGAGCTTGGACCTCCCAGCCATTTCTCTCCAGCGAATCCATGAAGTCCCAGTGAATTTTGCGGGAATGCGTGGAGAGGTGCAAGCGCCGAACCCTGGTCAACAGCCAACCAAACAAGCCGGGCAGCATGGTTTGCCTGGACATCTGGGGCTTACTGCAGATAAAAATCATAGTGCTAAATAATGCTACTAAAAAAATAATGGTAGTAATACCAGTAATCATAGGAATAATAATTGTGGTAATAATAGTAAAACACATGGTAGTAATAGTAATAATGATTAAGGGTCGTTTTGGAGGTCCTTCAGTGAAGCCCGTAATGAGACTGGCCCTCAGTTCAAAGCATTCTAATCGGGCGAGGCACTCGGCGCCATCTACATCCACATCAACTAAATCCCACAGCTCGCCAGAGCCCAGGAGAGCCTGAAGCGCATTTGGGCATGCTGCGCATGCGCACTGTGCTCCCTCAAATGCAGCTCATCAAGTCAAGAACTCTGACGGGCTCACCAACAACATATTGATGACTTACTGAAACAAAAGCCATTTCTGTGAGAAGCCTCTGATGGGGATCCTTGATTCAAAGGCGCATGTTGGGGATATCGTCATACATCCAGGTGCCACACAAGACGAGTCTGTCGGCTACAGTCGGCCTTGATCTGGTCGTTGGTAGTGACAGGGTGGGTATGCACCACAAACCTGCAAGGAGCACAAAATGGGAACCCCAAGAGCAGAGGCAGAGCAAACCCCAGGTATATCAAAAGCCTCCCTGGTTTTTGAATAGTCCGCACTTGTGCAAAACTCTCAGAGATCCCATCGCAGGACAGAGCTTGCCTGCACCGCCCCGGCGGCAAGTTCATGGCAGCATGCGTGCGCAAGAGCGACCCATCCCCTTAGCACCACTGAAAACCTCTGTGGGCATCCCTGAAAGTGGGAAGGTCACCTACCTTCAATTGTGCCCCCAAGGCTCCCATCACAAAAGGCTCCACAAGCAGCAGTTCGCAGGGCTGGTCGGGCGCCGCATATTTTGTGAAGGCCTTTGCAGCACCTTAGCTTTGCCAGCGTGGTCTCTCGCTATCAATATCTCTGCGGCTCTGATTTGGTTTGTCGTTGCTGCACATGCAAGCCAGCAAGCCAGCCAGCCAGCAAGCAAGCAAGCAAGCAAGCAAGCAAGCAAGCAGTGCTTCGCCATGGCTGAAACTTACAGTTGTAGCACCGTAGATGTAATTATAACAGGTTCCAGCCGGTGACTTGCTGGCCATGCTTCAGAACTGTGCGGCTGCTTATGAAGTGGGCACATGCTGTGCAATGCTTAGGCGCGCATGGCCCAAATTCCATATGGCCCACTCCCAACCTCTGCCATTCGGAAGGGCCGGCCGCTCCGTGCAGCGCGCACAGCAGCAGTGAGCCCATCAGCCCACTCCTTATACTCTTTAGGCATACAGAAGACAGCACCGCGAGCCATGATAAGCGTAAGCCGCAAACGATTCAGTTTGCTTTCCCAGTATCCAGGTACTCTTCATCCAGCACAGGCCATGCGCGAGGAAGATGCAATCCCCTCCTCATCGAAAGAACATGCGCCACATGCTATAGAACTTGCCAGTGATTTCCAGCTTGCAACTTCTTAAATCACTTTGCAGTGTTGTGCAATTGCCAAATTGAGCAAGTCACAATGATGCAGCAAACGCAATTCAAGCAACAATGCTCTTGATCTCTGAGTATCTTGTAGTATTCGCATAGCGCTGTTCTCCCTGGTGCCAGTAGCGACAATTGTTTGGATTCACAGTCCACGCCAATCGGCATCGAGACACCTGAGAAGTATGCAAGTCTAAGCATCAGGACAGCCGTCCCTGTGGCCAATCAGGCGACCCAATCACTGAGGATTGCTCTTCTAGTAATAAGAGAATATATAAATTACAAGAATTGTAATAGCAATACTGCAATAGCAATAAAGTAATGACAGTAATGACAATAATAATGAGACTAATACCAATGGTCATAACTTAGTAGCTATAATAATACTAGTAATGCTAACGGTTTACTACACACTTTGGACAGGCGTCCGAGGAAGTCTAGCATGAAGCCCTCCTGCGCGGGCCCCTGTACGGCTGGGAAGTTCTCAAAGATGGCGAAGCCCTTCTTCTCGCACTTGCCTGCAAATACGTCCTTGCAGTAATAGCAGCCATAGTAATAAATAATACTATATAAAAACAGAGACCAATAATAATAACAAACGTGACAATATATGTCCTGTAAGCAAGTGTTTGGGCTCTGCACCAGCATGTCGTACATCGGCATCGTGTTCTGATGCTTGAAGAAGAACAGCAATTCGCTCCTCATTGTGGTACAGTATAATATAATGTAGTATAATATATGTAATATTATTCACCCCTTTTTTAACCCAGGTCTGAGGTCCCTGCCTGTACTGAAAGCTGAGCATCTAGATTACAACTCCCAAGCTATTCATGAGAGCTCACTGTACGGTCAGAAACATGCGGAGTAGCTGTGATGTTATTCACCCCTAAACCCCTAAACCCTGGGAGTTATAGTGCAAATCTGTCAATGCGCAGCGGCAGGCCGCTAAGCATGCGCAGTGCATCTCAAGCGACAGCTGTCTGTGGGTATAATGGGATTATAATGGGGTAATATAGGGGTAATATAGGGATGATGAAAAACATGGAAACTGATAACTGAGGTCGGGTCATCAAACCAGCCGTTCTGTCCCCTTGCACACCAAGATGTCTTTCGTCTGCGATGCGCACGGCAATGCCGGCCGTGTACGAAAGGACACCTTGGCTAGAGGCAGCATCTGGCTTTTTGAAAGCCCTGTGCAGAGCCAGGTACTGCTGTTGCCCCCGCCCCCACCCTGCTCAGCTGGCATCCAAGCAGCTCTGATACCGCCCGAACCTTGGATGCATACTTGAGTGCTCAAAGCAGCTGTCCCGCTTCATGTTTCTGCCTTGCCCCTTGTCCCTCGGATCTTCCTCTCTCAATGAGGTCTACGCTTCCTTTCCCTCAAGGCCTAAAGCAAATGCCATGCTCTTCAGTCATTTGTTGATTCTGCTCATTGCTTCATACCGGGCAGCTTGCGCCATAAGGCCCTCTGAGCTTCTGCTATGCCAGGCCCTCGCCGCCTGACGGATCGGGTGCCCACGTCGAAACAAAAGGGATGCAAAGCTGCCTCGCCACTGCACATTCACAATAACCAAGTGGCAGCTTCACCCGGTAGGTACCCAGCGCTGTGGACACGTTCTGCAGCCTTTTGACATCTACTGCGCGAGTGACCTCGGGGCAGAAGCAATTCTATCTTTCTTCCCCTCATTCAATGCCAGGCGCCTATCACCGCAGAATGCAAGCAGTTCTTGATGACGAGAACGGACTAATTTAGACCCCACCCTCGCTCGTCAGGATGCAGAACTGGCTGTCATTTACGAGGAATTGTTGCTTTCCCAGCTTCTGTGTTTAGGCAAATATGATTGGTAAGGGATGCTGCTACTGCTTCTGCGACTCTCCTCATTGTCTATCAACAATACAAGAATACTTGGTCATAGCAACCAAGTTTTGCAAATGCTGCTTGCATTGCGTGCTAGTGCGGTCTTCTGCTTCTGCTTCTGCTGCTGTTGCTGTTGCTGTTGCTGTCGCTGCGGCTGGCCTTCAACGTGCTGAGGTGGTTCTCAACCTCATACGAGATGGCCAGTAGCTTTGCGAAGCAGCCGCAACAGGCCTGTGTACCTGAGCACCCACCAACCAAACAGCTCAGCTTTCAAGGAGGCGAAAAAGAGTCACAGCCCCCACGCTAGGAATCGTGCTCCTAGTTCTTGCTGAAACCGCCAACATTACTGACGCTCAGCGTTGAGAATTATGAATCCTTGTCATTCTACAAGGATTTTGGCCCCTGAGGACGGACCTACGCTCAGTTCACCTCAATTACGGCTCCCAAACTGAAATATACTGGAACTCATGGAATACCAAAACCCAAGCATGAGGATCCGTATTGTACTCAAATCCGTATGCGGCCCATGGCTGTAGTTTATTGTCTCCCTATGCAGACACCCAGTACAGACACTGAGTAACAATCCACAGGAGCCCACATGCACCCACCAAACCCTGTAGTAAGAATGGGAATACTAGTAAACCTCACATCTTACATTATAAAGTGTAAGCCAAGGGTCGGTTGCGGGGTGATCTTGGGAGTTTGGACTGGCAAGTCTGACAGAAGCCTGGCGCAGATCTCTCGAAGGAGGTAGCCCCACCAAAGTCTAGGGGGTTCTAAAAATGCCTCAAGATGATACGAGGATAGTTTTCACAAACTCCCACCCTTGAAGTCATTCGACCCAGCATCCAGCAAGCGCACTCGGTCCAACGCCTCAGGTCACCATTTTTTCCCATCCAAAGTTTTTTGCGTTTCCCTTCGCGAGCGAGTGAAATCCAAGGCCTCAGGCCGTAGGAGCTACGGGGAAATTATCCTCCCTCCGTGCCGTGGAACTCGTTGTTTCCGCGGACTTCCGGGCACTCTCTAGGACTCTAGGAGCTGTTTTTCAAAGCCATCTTTACCTCCTTTACCCTGCCCCGGCTCCTCTCTTGTGTTCAAGAGATGACTTCAACTACACCTTGCCCTTACGTGCCCTACCACCTCCTCCAGCACCACCCCCCCTCAGTCGACTTTCTAGCAAGTGGAACCCTTCCCCAACCAACTGCTATCTCAGGCTTTTTCTGTAGGCACCAAAGTTGTGCTTCCCCACCGGGCTCCTCTACCTTCCTCTCCACCGTCCCCACAACCTCCTTCTTCTTCTTCCTCTATGGGCTGTGCAGGACCCTAGAGCCCTGCCGGGGTGAACCCCAAGCCCGCGAACAAGTCCACAAGTCAGCGAATCCCAGGAGGGCCGGAGCCGAGGTCATTGTGATTGGAACTGGGCGTCCCACCTACTGCATTCACTTTCCCATGTTCCGTTCCCCAATGACGATACTCCCTTCTCGACCAGGCGGTGACACGAACTGCGAAACCCGACTCCCACTCTGTTGATGGGGTCTATACGCTCGTGCTCCAGTGGGCTGGTTAATCAGATTTCTCCCCTTATATTGTCACCTGCAAGCAAACACACCATACATGGTTCGATACGTATACTAGGGGATATCTCTGCATTATCCACTTCTGTTCCACCCCATGCTCTCCTGGCATGGCAACGAGAACAGTGCTGTGTCAAAACTGTCAGGGGACAACTTCATAGATCACGCTGTCACAGCGTACCCCACTAGCCAGCATTACAACCAAAATACCCAGCCTGGCATATATTCACCTTCCCCTTCCCCTTGGCATCAGAAATGTTGTGAGACTTGCGCATGGTGCTGCCAATTTGTATGCAGAGCATTACAATCACAGTACCCAATCCAGGCTAAGTTACATCAGCACCAACCTCATGATCCCCCTACCTTGCGCACTGTTCCCGGGGTAACTGCAAACAGTTTTATCACTGCGATGTTTTTGGCCCGTCTCCCCCATAGACGGCATGATTGGCACTTTGTTCTTTGCCTTTTCTTGTTTCGGGGGAACTTTTGCGCCCAGCGGCTGTTGCTGGGATTACAGTGCTTCGCCAGCATGGTACATTACATTCCCACAACCTCCTCTCCCTCTCTAAATCATGCATTATCACCCGCCCTACCCCTTGATCCCCAAGTCCGCCCTATGCCCTCCCCCCTCACCAACCCTCTGGAGATTCTGCCCCTCCCCCTTTTCTCTGGCGGAGGCAGCGTGCGCTAATACTTTTCGTGAGGTTGTCAAGCATAGACTTGGCCCCTTGCTTGGAGTGCCTGCTGCGGTGTGCAAGGCTCATAGAACTCTGCCACCGCAATTGACAGGACCAGCGCAGCGCGCCAGCAGGCCATCCATGGGGGCTTCTCGAAACGAGGGATCCGGCTTTAGGGTCCCTACGCTTGCGATCCCTAGCTTGCTGCTTGCGACAGCCTTGAGTTGCTACGCAGCCCGCGCAACAGTAAGAGCAAGCAACCGTAAGATGACAGTGCCTCGAGTTAGAGGTATGTCAGCTTCAATGCAGTCCCAAGTCCCAAGGTCACAGGCTTGTCAAGGTTGAGCTGGGAGACTGAGGCAGATGGATTGCCACTGAGCTGCGTGCCACTACATTCTTGAATGTAAGACCTTGGCCACGCGTCTGTCCATGCAGGAGCATGGGAAGAATACATAGCCAGCAAGCCCTATAATTCTACAGGATCATAACATCCACCTAGTGAGACAGACTGAGGGGACCTAACTTCTTTGTTCTGTGTTGCTGGTATCCAGAACTCCGGACGGCTGGACATTTCACCATGCAAACAGAGAATTGATGTTTTAAGCTGCTTTCCTCACTTAGTACTCGCTCTTTGATACCCCGAATGTGACAAGCGACCTCCCAGCTCACCCGCATCGATTGCTTGGACGTCGCCTATGGTGAAAGGGCCTCAGGATGATAGAAACTAGCCAAAGGCCAAGATCGGAGTGTGAAGGCTGGCTGTGTGCAAGTTGCATGCAAAACTTCAGGACGTCCATGCCGTAGTGTTGGGAATCTACAAGAACTGACCCTGCGGCCTGACCCTGTGAACGCAAATCGTCCTTGCATGTCCTATGCATTGCACGCAGGCATCCCCTTGGTGCTAAGTTCTGGCACTGCGTCGAGTCCTCTGCTTCTCAGGCAAGGCCTAGCAACATTGCATAGCATGGCTTCCCCGCGTCTCTGGTACTTGTAGTTCAGGCCTCGTGCAGTCTCTTCTGCAGCTCACCGCCTGAGACAACCTGCAACACAACTGCCTTGATTTGACGACTCTGTAGCTGGAAGATGGGATTGGCCTCGAAGGGGCCCACGTGAAACCTTCAAGCCGCCGCACAGCAGGGAAGGCATCTCACATAACACGACAAGTGCGCTGGCTTCTGAGCATGCGGCTTCTGCCCAGTCGCCTAGACAGCAGGAACGGATTGGTTGCTGACACCGCACGGAGCATGAGGAATCTGAGACTATACAGCATCAAGAAGTATGATGACGTGCCAGTGATCTCGGAACCCTGCGGCCTAAACCTCAGACCCCCTTCAGACCGGCCTTGACTTGCAAAACGGCAGACGAGTACTCAAAAAGCTCGCGGGTGCCCTCGAGAAACGAAAGTCAATCATCGGATGAGATTCTAAGACGCGCCTCTCGGGGCTACTAGAGCATGTGCATCCATGATGTTCCTTTGTTGCTTCTTCTTCTTCTTTTTCTAGCTATGCCTCCCCCCTTTTGGGGAGACATTGCCCCGAGCCCACCCGGGCAAGGAGAGAGTCGATGCGACTTGATTCTTGATTGCTTCTCCACCTCTGAAAGGCTTCCGCCCCCAGCAGGAGCTGATCTGTTAGACTACCTCACTGCAGCATCCCGCCAATGAATCAGCGTGTGCCCAAGCTTTATGCCACTGATGCTACTACCTGTTGCCACTTTTCAGTTCTGTTGCTGGCATGTTGTCTTGCTGTACTGTTCTCACAGCTCTGTGCGAGACACATCCCCCTCTTGCATGCGGCTGCCCAATCCCATCACTGCAGAGCCTCACTCCTTTTGAGATGAACCATCCTTCAGATCTTGGAGCTTGTCAGCGGTTTGGCATGATGGATTTACACTGTCCTCGCCGCTCATTGCCTGGCACGCCTATACCCTATACATGGACAGTCTACGGTCATGCATGGCAAAGCCAAAACAAGCAGGAGTTTGACATGCCCGACGCCATCAGGGTTCAACTGGCAGCCAGAGAAAGGTGGGCTGTACCTGTCTACTCTTGTGATATCCTGTTAGGACACACCAAAGGACCACCATCTTGAGAAGTTTCCTGAGGCGGCACAAGCAAACACCTCACTACATACCTGTACAAGTTGCACATGCATGGACATTCCCTTGGCCTGGGCTCATCCGAGCACCTCAGAGCCAATGGCCTTCTTCGAGCTCACTCACAACTCTACAGCCATCCTCCTGCACCATGCAGTGGTAGGGTGAAATTGGCTTATAACCTAGCAGTCAAGAAACAGGTAGAATTCCTGGAGTAATGATGGCATCTTCGATGTAACCAAAACTGATCTGCGCCGCCAGCTGATCCTTGTCGGCCAGCGTGCGTCAGTCTCCCACTGACCTTTTCGAATTAAATGCACCATCCGGATGTCACCGTTCGGCTTGTCGCAGCTTGGGCAGAGCATCTGGCTGCCGCAGTGCTCGACACCACCGGGTGTCCCGGCGAGCTGGCAAAAGGCAATCTGCACAAAGAGGATGATATGGTACCAGTGTGGCATCTCGCTTTTAGGAAGGACAGCTTGCCTGAACCTTAGCGGTAGCAGCCCTTAGCAGTAGCAGCTGTTGCAGCACTTGGAACTCGATGAAAACATCTTGAGATTTCGGACCGACAGCCAAACATGGCAGCTCGAAGCAACAAGCAATAGAAAAAACTCATGCAAGTGAGCCGCGTGCGCAGGAATCTTTAGCGAGCACGGTTGGGGGCAGGAGTGCTTTCCATAGCGCCTCAGTAATTGCCATGCACAGCTGGACAAAGAGCGTTACTGACAATACCCCCTTCTGGAAATATTCACCTCACTGGGCAGACCTGAACAGCTGTGCAGGTGCGGGCAACTATTCTAGGACGAGGTGCTGCAGAACGCTTTGAAGCTCTGAAAATCCTGCCCACATAGATACACCGCTGAAGGGAGCCGTCAACGGTTCGCGTATCTTCTGCATTTGATCCGCAATGGCCCTTCGCCGGGGTGGGGCTGGGAAGGCAGAAAATGACAATCAGACATTGCTGCATCACGGGTACATATGTATAGAATACTGGCTGCATGGTGCACGGAATTGCAGCTCGTTCAATGCCCTTATGGTTTCTGGTGGGTGGTGGTGTTGGTGTGCGAACGTCTTCTGATGTTGTAGCAGGCAATGTGGTGTATTTTGGTCAGAGTGGTGAGTCTGCTCAAAAGCTGTTGCAGATAAGGTAGTGCCGGCGTCTGTGCTTCAGTAGCGATGCAAACGACAATGAGAACGTGGAGCAGCAGCATCAGCAAAGAACGGTGATGTTGCCACTTTGGTTGTCACACCAGCAGTAGCATCAGCAAAGAACGAACATAGCAGCAGGAGCAGTGTCAGCCAGCAGGGCCCTACATCTCGCAAGCCTCGGGCAGCTGGCATCCACTTGTCTCCCAACCTGAATGATTCCTCCAAGGCCTAGAGTTGCATTGTCAATACTGAATGCAATACAGCTGATCTATCAAGAAGCTCTGCCAAAGCGGCACTGCGCCTGCCACAGGCCGAATTTTGAGTCGCATCCTGGCTGAGTTCGAGGAGTGCTTGCGATTTCGGGCTCGCTATGAGCTGCTGCTAAGCATCTTCGCAATCATCACAGGGAACTGGACACAGGTCTGGCAATCTGGTGTGGATGAAGGCCTGCAGCTCCTGCAAGCATCAAAGTGGGCCTAGCTTCTCTATTGACTCTCTCATACTCTCTCTAATGGACATTAATGGTCTTCTGCCTACAAATTTGCAGGTCCTTCGGGGTTGCTTTGCGATCGAGATCAGGAAAGCTGGCAGGGTTGGCCTCCAGATCTTGCTCCAGCTTTCGAATCTGCCGTGCGCACGGCTCAGGAAAGATAGCGTTGTGGCACACCTTGAACGGGATGTTCATGTGAGCTTCTGTCACCCCCTCGCTTCCAAGGCATGGTGATGGGCATTTTCCGTTTTCGTGCAAATAGCCCTGCACTTCTGCATAGCTTGACGCAGGGCTTAAGCCAGGATACCAGTCAGCATGCAAGTTGGTGCCCTCGTTCATGATCCATCTCACAGCCTTGTCACAATCGCTGCCATCCGGTGGGGGGAGACAGTTTTCACGGGACTGAGGCACATGATCCCGGACAAAGGCATAGAGTCGGTAGGAGCCCCCATCTATCAACATTTGTGTTGGGACCAGGGCGGTCAACTTGTCACGTGGGCTCGCTCCCTGACACACCTGCACAACTCCAGGGATGGCTGTGGCCACTTCGGACGGTGAGTCAGGGTTGTCGGTTGTCAGAACCCAGACCACGTCATTGTTCTGCCAGGCTCCGGCATCATTGTTGGGCATGTCAACAGCATTCCTCACTTTCTGCGAAGAAACCCTCTCCACTTCGACACATCATCTGACAGACAGCTTGCTCTCTGCAGGCAAGGTGCACGTCCACTTGGAGAACAGCACCATGCTGCACTGTCACGCCAAGAGGCACTGGTGCGGGACCGTTCGGGCCCATGACCTGGTTCCATCACTCGAAAAGTCATGAAATGTTGGCTTTGCTTGCGGCAGTAAGAGTGTGTGTTTTGTTGTTGTCTGGTCGTTTCTCTTGTTTGGGCTTTTGGGTTGTTTTTTTTGCTGTTTGGGCGGAGGCGCGGGCCCCGCCCAAACAGCTAAAAAAAATGCCACCGGCCCAAAACGAAAAAAACATAAACACGCCCCCTCCCCTACCCCCATCTCTCCACGGCAGAATTTCATTTTCAGCAAAAAACAGACTCCCGCCCAAACGGCGTTGTTTGGGCCGGGTGCGTGTATATTTTTTTGCTGTTTGAGCTGAGCCGGGGAGGGGGGGGGACATGTTTTTTTGCTGTTTGGGCGGGGGCGTGTTTATTCTTTTGTTGTTTGGGCGGGGGGCGATGTTATCTTTTTGCTGTTTTGGCGGGGGACGGGAGTTCACTCACTTACCGGTCTGCCTGGGTCGTCTTTAAGAGGCCCAACAACAAAAAAGACCAAACAGCAAAAAAAAAACGGGTCCCCATGCGGCGCATGAGTACTCAAGCGCCTTGTTTAATTTGTTCCTCTGCCACGCCTTGACTGCAGTGATTTTGGGTGCTGGATGCCTGGAAGCCCGGCCAGTCCATGCTTCCTGGAGCAAAGGGCAAAGACCCTGTATCACACTCTTGTTCTAAAATCATCTGCAGTTGATATCCTGCATGGATTGCACCACATCCGAGGCTGGTTCATCAACGCCGGCAGCGCGCCACTCCTTGCAGGTCCATAAGAAGGATTCCCGCTACTCTTGCAGAACAGGACTTCTGCTGAGGCTCATTGAAGGTGCTGAACCACGTGGGTGTGTGCTCCCACTTCCAGCCCCACATAAAGGCAAAAGTGCCCAAGCAGCTTTGCTGTGCCAAACATTCCTGGTGAATCTGACGCAGCATGATGGCTTTCCTCGGTGCAGTAGTCAAACCCCTGACTCGTACTGCAAGTTGTCTTACAGTAACTGTGAAGAAAGAGACGGGTGCCAGAAACAACATCGGCGAACAATTTGCCAAGGCATAACAACAATGCCTGCCAAGGATCTGGGTGGAGGTCGGCTCCATTGGTGCCTCAGAAACACTTCCCAAACCCTAGCCGCTCATTGCGACGATGCATGACTAGTGCTCCCGCAAACATTGTTAGTTCAGTGTTCTGCATCTATGCAATATGCAACTCGGTGGGTACTTGAGGTGCTTTTCCACTTCATTTATGCAGCTCTTGCGGTTGGGCCTATTTGCTTTGCCCGCGTCAGGGCAATAAACGTGACAACTGCTGGCTTTTGCCCATACGTTCTGACAGTCCTGAGGCCAGCGCCTTCCAGGAGCTCTGTGGTGCCATCCATGCCCCAGCGGCTCCGAACTCGGTCACAGCATATGGCCTGCTTTGGGGCAAGCGTTGAGGAGGCTTGCGTACTTGATCAATATATTCAAGACTTGACGACCAAGACACATCCCAATTGTCACCGATCTTAAAACCGCAGCTGCAGTTGCAGTTGTTGGGCATGCTTTTTCTGGGACTGGTTCCTTTGTTCCAGCCTGGTCCAACCGGCGCTGCGCAGCTTCTGTGGTATCTTGTAGGCATCTCCACCGTAGACATTGAGGCCCAAGAAGTCCAAGGAAGGGCAGAGGGTGTTGAGGCGGCCAACTTTTACCTTGGGCTCCAAGAGGCCATGCACAAATAGGCTCTTGAAGCTCTTCAAGCTCCCGACAGCAATTGCCAAACTTGCAACAACCCGCCTCAACTTTCTGAACAAGCTTTGCCAAAGCTTTGCCAAAGCTGCTGAGTGAAAGCCAGCAATCGCGGTGCCAACCGGGTGGTTCGGGTCAGCTATCTTGATGTGTCGAACGACCCACTCCAAGCGTCGCCACATGCATTCAGAACCACCTGCCCAGTCTATCTGAAGCTCGAGCTCGTTCCCAGCCTGCCACCACAACAGTCCTGGATCGTTGCGGTGCATTGTGACGTTGGACAGGATTTCTTGCAACTGCTCTTGCCACCATGGGTGGTTTAGGCTGCAAAATTCGCCTTCATACTTGTCCTTAAATGTGGACAGGTATATACCAGCAGCGACCTTGAGTTTGTGCCGCCCAAGCTTGAAGGCTTCAAGAGCCCCGCGCGACTGTTGCAGAGACCATGTGCGGATGGCATCGAGTCCTGCCGCCTGCGCCTCTTTTGCATGAGCTCCAGTCCCGGCAGCCCCACGAACTTTCCCACCTGGCCCAATCTCACGACCATTGAAGAGCACGCGGTGATCTGGAGCAATCTGCACCTCACGCGGTATGAGATGCCCAAGATAGTGTGAGCTACTCAATTTCTTTGCGAGAAGGCGGCCGCCTCACTGCTGCCCACTAACTGGATTCACCCTGTCCTACAAGACTGGAGGTTTTTTTAGTTCTGCTCCCACCCTGCTGGATGGCCTTGTTGATGACGTAGGGCACCGCTACGCAGACATGATGCTCAGTAGAGCTGAATGCAGTAGCACCGCTGCACTCCTCTGCGTCAAAGCGTGCTCCAAATCTGCAACAGGCGCTGCCAATACCACACCATCTGCAAAAGCCGGATCCGCCACATTCATACCAGCAATCCAAGCCTACATGGTGAATTGAGGAAGAGCCAGCTGATAGAAGGCTGGCTGGCTGCGCAGAGCGAGGTTGCACGCACACGTGTCGATCATGACGGCTGAAGGACGCAACCCCGTGGCATTCGTACGGGTCATTTTGCGCACCTTCCCGGCAGCAGGCCATGCCCTCACCGCACCATGAGCAATAGCCTGGAGTCTTATCGCAAGGCTGCCAACAGTCTTGCTGTGCGTGATCCTGGAATACTTCCCGCACAGGTCGGACACACACATGCCTATCGGAACGGCCAAAGCTCCTGACTCCACGACACTCACTAGGGTCGCTCTGGCTTCCCTTCCGGCAGCATGCGTTGCCTTCACCACACCAGTCGCACATTCCAGCACCTCTGCAATGTGGCAGGCAATCCTGTCCTGAATGCTTGACTCTTGGCGAGTATTTCGGCGCAACGCACTGGAAGTTTTCCAGGCTCAGAAATTGAGCACCCCTGCATTCAAGAGGTGCATCTTTACTATGCCGTGAGCAGCACGCGTTTCCTGCTCCACACCACGCACACTCTCCCTCGGCCTCGCCAGCATGCCAGAAAACTCGCAAAGCACACCGTACATTAGACTTCTGAAGGCAAGCTGTCCTCGTCGCACTGGGAAAAGCAAGACTGCCCGCCATGTCGAAGCGACATAGGCACGCATTTCGAAGCCTCGCGGGATTGACTCTTCATGGGCCAAACACATCATCACGAAACGCCATGTTCTGAGATCATGTGCACCTTCAGGCCGAGCCCAACAGCAATCTCAGCACACTCGTGACCCGCAGCGCAGCAGTTCTCCCATGGGGCGTTGTCGTACCAGCCGCCGCAAACCTAAACACGTCTTCAGATGTCAGCGGATAGAACTTACACCGTGACCTGCAGACAACCAAACATCCTTATAAGCCTTACTGTGCGCAACATCTGCCGCTTTCACCCGTACAGTATCCAGCCACGCGGCGCCGTATGGAGAAGCGCAGTTCTTGGCCACTGCTGAGGCCAAGCGGCACCTGAACTTACACGGTTGCCTACACAGACACAAACCGTCACAGTCCCAGTCTGCTAGCCAAGGACAAGCTGTCGAGACTTCTAAAATGATCTTTGCAGCTGAAACAGCTGCAAAATAAAACATCTCACGCAACGCCTTGCAAGCACAGAATAGGTCATAGGTCATAGGGATCCTTGTAGCTTCCATTCGGCCCAGGAGCTCCGAGTAGTGCCGACTCAAGCGGACACAAGTGTAGCCAGGGACACAGTGCCTGCAAAGCATGGCAAGAGGCCCAAGTCCAATTCAAATTACACTGTGGGAGGCGTTGTTCGTTGTTTCACTGTTCCACATTCAGGCTTTAGGACTGTTGCCCTTTGACTCCCTTACTTGTCTGCAGCTGCCTGGATCCTCGCCATCCATCCCCTCCACCTCAAGTGAAGATGTGCAAGAGTCAGTGGGCCCGGAAACGTTTTTGGCTATGTGAATAAAACACGGAGCCGAAGTGAGAAATTGTTACCTCGAGGCCGCCGCACTTCCCACTGGCAGGTGAGGGGATGCGAACGCACTCATGCCTCGTGGCACACCCCTTCAGGAATTCACCATGCTCTGACATCAGTGCACGTGAATCGCTAGGCCTCCACGATCCGCCGAAGCCACGGCACTCGGCAGGGTCATCAGCACCTCGACGGCAGCAAGCGCGGCCGCGGCCGCACCAGTGGCACCAGCCAGCCTGGACGCATCATCCACGAAATGTCCTCTTTATCTTTCTGGCAGATCATTCACATTTTTTGCGTGTAACTACCATCTCACAGCTGCCGCTGGCTTGCCTAATTACGCCAAACGTTGAGGATGGTGCGAAGTTTGCTCACGTCTCGCGTGCTGCAAGCGTGCATAGGCCAGCACACTATGCCCACGCAAATCCCACGCCAGCACACTATGCCCACGCAAATCCCACGCGACTTTGTTTGGTCCCTGTCCCATGTTTTGTTCCGAGTATAGCCATTCTTTGGGACATGCTTTTTCCTGCAGCAATGCCACACCAGCTTAAGCACCAGATTAGCGCAAAATGGCCAAACAAACCTACAAATCTTGGTTACTCTAGACGTAAAGTCTCCCAAACGCCCGCCTTTTGATGGCACGGGCCCCAGCAATCCACTCGGGCCACCGCAAGCTGGGAGATGCCCAACTCGACCTCCTCTTTGTGGATATGGCTGAACTCTGGCACTGGCTCCTCAGGGGTGGAGTGAATAAAGGGGATGCCCAGCATTCCATCATCCGCAACTTCGGCACCCAACTGATCTCCCGGGGCAGCCAGCATCCACCCTTGAATAGTTGCTGATGGCCTTGTGAGTCTCAATCTCTTCGCGAGGTCACCCCAGGTCCCCCAAGCAATCATTGAGCCAATGCAGCATCCCAGCGCCAGCATCGCGCCGCGCTTTGGCCACCTGTCAGGGTGTTTCAAACAAGGGATTTGCCTTCCACCTCACAGGCGGGCTTGCTCTCGGCTGTCCATTGCTCTGATGCTGCTTTCATTGTTGCACCACTCTTGCAAAAGTGGAATACGTCCTTTCGCTGTTGGCAGTTGGCAAGGCCTCCAAGATCTGGATGATGGCCTGGGACCCTCCTGCGCCAGCCAAGGAGTCATCTACTGCCAGGCATGGAATGCAAACCTTGTATCTACAACGCTGGAAGTCCGGTAGTTGATGAAGGTGAGACCGCAAGAACCCGTCTTCCACTGTGTAATGACTACTTGTGCGGTCCTACGACTTGCCGTACGGCGCCCGATATTGAGTGCCACTACCCGTTCTTCATGTTACAATGGCAAAGTATTGCTTACCATCTCAGGCTCGCCAAGGTGCCGGGCTACCGCCACTACGAGTATTAGTCATCACTGATACGAGACCAATGGACAGGCTCAGCGTTGGAAAGCAGCCCTTCAAGATGCGATGCTCCTCCTCATCGTCATGCTTGTTGAGGAGCTCCAGGTCATCTTCGGACCCATCCATGCAACGGTACAGCATGGATCTGGATTCTACACGCTGTGTTGATGATTTGATCATTGCATGCGTTGATGCACATGCTGGAGACTTACCTTTCAGCTTCTCTGCACCTGCGTTTTCGAGTTTGAAGCAATCAGTACCTGCGCTGCTGCCACTTCTAGATGGAACTCCTCGATGTCAGAATACGTGTTGGCCAATCCAACACTTGTCATAATGCAACCTTGAAGCCAAATCCTCGACAAATCATGATGGCAAGCACATGCTGCTGGTCAGGCTCTTCCTCGTTCCTGCCCCCGCCCGCTGCACATTGCTAATGCTTGTATCACCAGCGATGGGTACTATTTGTGATTCAGGCCAGCGACAGCATGAAAGTTCCCACGGGCTCATTCAGACTTAACGCTGCCAAGTCGTGAGAGGGATTCTCTCTGATTTTGCTCAAGTAGGCTAATGCAATCCAACAAAACGAGGAGCTTCAGCTGCAAGAGTACGCGCCTCATAGTCCTTCTCTTGTACACCGAAGGCCTGGCATATTACAACGTTGACCACAAATCCTCAAATGATGCCTTGCAGTGGTCTGCTGCTTACACCCGGTTTGTTCAAATTCTCATCGCCTTGATAAACCATCGACCTGTCAACGCAGCATCGCGCGGCCCGGACATCACTCAGTTGGGATGTAGGTGCACGCCCTTCTCAGTCATGCTGGGGTTTTACTAGCTTCTGCCAATGCATGTCAAGGCTTGAGGCTGGGGGAGGAGGTCAAGCTGGTGTTGGGTGCCTCTCTGTAGTGACTGATGTGGATTCATAGATCTTGTGGCCTGAGCCAGTAGCAGAATGGCAGGCAGCGTTGAAGCCACGTCAGTGTATGAGGCACGCTGTGTTCAAATCTGCTGCAGCCTCCTCAACCTAATCAGTAATCACCTACACAGGAAGGACACTTTTCTTTTGCCTCCTGCCCCATGCCCTACTCTGTGCTCAGACGGCTCTGAGGCTGGTGACTAAGTGAAACTGAACGCGCACGTGGCTCACCGGATGTGATGACTTTTAATTGCTGTCATGTCTTCCATGCCTACACGCAGCAGCAGGCAGCAGGCTCTTCCAGTCTGCGGTACAAAAACCACCTACAGAGCGCAACACTCCACCAAGCAAGCTGCCTTGCGCTGCCAGACCGCCAGTTTCGACCAAAAAAGTCTGGTGACCCGGCAGCATCCGAATGCTCTAGTGAATGACATCCACCCCCCGCGCCGTATGGCCAAGCATGCCAGACAAAAGGACGTCCGCAACTCCAAAAGAAGGGCAGGAGCCAGTGCAAGGTTTCTTTTCACGCGCTCAGGGGTTACAAATGATCTTAGACGAACATGGCACGTGGTCAATCAGTCAATTTAGAATCTTATTCATACCAGCCCTCGAGAAAGGACTGGCCGCTACAAATCGCTCAAACCCTGCATCCATATGCACAGGCTGCTCTCACAGGATCATTGCCATCAGCAAGCCACGCATGCAAAGGCAGCTGCAAGCTGCGCGAGCTACAGGTGCACCCCCTGCTGCAAAGTGAAAAGCTCCCAAATTTCATCCGGTTCGTGATTCCGGCTACTACCCATGGTGCGGACAAGACGTAGAAGGGTGCAATGACAAACAGAGCACCAAACTAGAAGCTTCTAACTTGTGATAAGTGCAACTCATGCTGTAGCTTACCAGTAGTTGAGCTCTACTTTTCAGGGGGTGCCGTTAGTTGAAGGGAGGTGCTTCGGTGTGCCAGTGGCCCTCGCCAATGCACCGAGCGATCAGGGCTGGATCATTGCCGGGATGTTTTTCAGCATGCCATGCTTCAGGAATCTGTAGGACTAGTCCAATCCCATTCATTCTGCAATAATCCAGCGGAATCATGTTCAGGGTGGCCTTCTGCTCAACCCATCCTGCGCAACGCTTTTGCCGTATACATCTTTTTCTATATATCTATATCTATATCCATATCTATACCCATATTGATAAGCCCGATGTGACCCTCTGCCCCCTCTGTATCATCAGTATGCAATGCACATCGTGTCAAGGACTTCATGAAACTTTCAAAGGATGACCAGTGCACAATGCCGCTCTATTCAGCCCAGCCTCTTTTTAATTTCGGCTTTCCTTACACAACATGCACATGGGTGAGTGCCAAGGTCACAGCTGCTTGTCACAGACCCAGTGTCTCAAAATTGCCTATTAAAACATACCTGGTGTCAGAACTGCTCAGGAATGCAGGCTTCAGGCTGCCAACAGCTGTTTGCAACTGCTCTGCAAGCTGTCAGCAGCATAGATCTCCACAAGTACCATCATCTTGGTGCCCTGCTGTTTGTTTATTCGAGCTTGATCCCGCTCAACCTCACACGCAAGCAGGCAGCACCAATACGCTCTGAGAAACACTACACCGCTAAACCAGCATAAAGACCTGTGCTGCTGGGTTAAGCTGGCGGCCGTCTCTGCAATTTCCGGAATCATCCTCAGAGCCAGGAGGCAACAGCTGAGGCACCAAGAAAAAAACAACATGCATTGCACATGCTAAGTCTGCTAAGTCCGTCTCTCATTGTGGTGACTCAGCGTGTGCGTGATCTGCTGGCCTGAGCATGCTGCCGACCTACTCACAAACTTCACATGCAGCCGCAATGGCTTCTTGCAGGAGCGTCGCTGAGGCCGCTAAGGGCCAAACTCTTGACCAAAAGGCCCTCCAGCATGTTGTCAATCCTGAAAAGCGACATCCCCTACACATAAGGATTGTTTCTGGCGGTCGCGTGAATCCGGTAAGTGCCAGGCTGATCGTAAACTTTGTCCTGCAGCCAAGAAGCAGTCCAAGCGTTTTCAGATTGCTTTTTTCTCCGAGGTTCAGACGACCTCCTGGTTGCGCTGATCTGGTCTCAGCTGGCTTGATACACCTCCAGGAACACTGCCTCCCTTAACATGCGTTGCTACTCGCTATTGCATGCAGTGGCTCACCAGAAACTCTATGAAAATCATGTTCAACTGCGACACAGGTCCAACTGCCTCTTAAGCTTCTGTTGATTTGGGGACAACATACGCCTGCAGCCGAGCTAGCTGAAGCAGTGGAATTTCTCGCAGCCTCAACCGAGTGCATTTGGAGGTGCATGTACTCGACATCCGCTCATAGCAGCTTTGCAACATATGCTCTTGAGTTCCATGCGCGACGAGCTGCATCCTTACGCTCGCCACTTTCACAGAAACTACTGAAATCAATCTGAGGCCAACCTCGGCTAGAAGCCGCGCTGCGCCTCCGAGAGCAGAACAGCAAAGCGGCGCGTTCAAGGGGCTCTTGTGAGAAGTGCTTTGCCACTTGGGGAGTTTTTCTGTATGGACGAGCCCTTGCCTCGACTGCTATCAGGAGGAGCAGAGGCAGGATATCCTGCTCCCTGTGGCGGCACGAAAGTGCAGCAACTGCAAGAAATGATGTCACAGGAATACTTTTTGCGACCGTGAATGCTACAGAAGATCTAAGTGGGATGCAGGGAGCACTAGGGATGCTTGCAGAACGAGCACAGCGGACAACATGCGCAGCTGACGGCAGCACTACTTTATTGGCACACAAAGTGCTTCCTCGTAGCCTTACCTTTAGTAAGCTAGGAATGAAGGAATGGATCCTTGAACCCATTACAGTAGTTTTCATGTTCTTTTCGATTCCTCCATTCCAAGCTAACCAGACGTGAGTAGCTGCCCCTATAAACCCGCCTTTTCAAGGAGTTTAGACCCTAAACCCTAAACCCAATATGTATCCCTATATAATCCCCTATATTATAACCTTCATATGTATACATATATATATATATATACATGGTCACCCCCCCCAAGAACTACC